AGCAGCCGTGGTCATGGGGAGACGTCCGGCCGAAGTTAAAAATCATTTTCAAATAAGTTTAACTAATATATCGCGTTTTAAACCGTTAAAGTGTTTTTTTTAAATTTGTACACTATATCGGTCAATTTTTTCAAGATTGCTTACATTTTTAGAATGAATGAATGGGGTTATTTAAATGTCGTACTACTAGCGTAAACTATAGACAGTGTTTAATATAGTGTCAAAGACATTTTTACGTGAAATATCATAGTTAAAGTTTCATACCATATTACCGTGTTTTGTAACAGTCTTGAACCGTTTGACGTCGCAGTGCGCTACAAAATTTAAAAAAAACACAAAAAAAAAAAAAAAAAAAAAAAAAAAAAAAAAAAAAAAAAAAGGGGAGACAGACAAACAAAGAGGCCCCAAAAAAAACAAAAGTGCGGGCAACCGCCGCTGTTTCGTCGCTCCGTTTATTAGTCACAGCGCGATGTTTTATCAGACGAAGTCATAACCATCCCCATAAAATATAATCTGACCACCCGTTCCTCTTGTACTAGTTCCTGAGATTAGCGCGTTCAAACAAACTCTTCAGCCCTACATCTAATATATAAAATTCCGTGTACGGTGTCGTGTCACGGTGTTCGAACTTAAACTCCTCCGAAACGGCTCGACTGATTTTCACCAAATTTGATATGTGTATTCAGTAGGTATGAGAATAGGACAACATCTATTTTTCATCCCCCTAACTGATAAGGGTTGTTCACCCTTATTTTTTCTTTTTTTTTTTAGACAAAATTTTTAATTTCAATTTTTTTATGGTACAACATACAAAAATACATGCAATCCTCAATTTTTACCCTTCTACAATCAATCCTTATTTTTTAATAGACATTTTAGTAAAATTATTTATATGGCAAAACAACGTTTGCCGGCTCAGCTAGTATTAGTATAGATTCTTCCCGCGCCGCTCGCCATTGTCATCTAATTCCATACTTTGTCGTTCGGGACAAACACTGTGGCAACTGTACACAAGGGACGCATGGCAAGTCTACTTATAAAGCATACTTTAACAAAAGTAAAACTTCAATACATTTCCATTTCCTTTTCAATTTCAAAGTTCCAATTGCATATCTTCGCTTCAACTTGGCGAAATGGTGAGGTCAACTGGCAAGACTTGCTCTCGTTGTTTAGCAGCGCGTAAACTATCCTTTGTTAGCAACGCTCGCAACGCTGCACGTGCTGTTTAGGAATTTTTGCCTTCGAAAAGTATACATTGAATACTCTGTCTATACTTTACGCGAGTATACATCTAAAGTAAAACATTTTAACGGTTTAAAACGCGATATATGTTAGGTAAACTTATTCGAAAATTATTTCGAAATTTCCGAAATGTCGGACCGTAGTTAAAATAACAAAAGTTTACTTATCTATCGTGTTTTAAACCGTTAAAATGTTTTATTTAAAGCACGTTGGTCTATCATAGTTATTATATAACGTTGTGTTAAATTAAAAATCGATTATAAAATGAAGTGTCAACGTTGAAATTACATTGCGTAAAATTTAGACAATAATGTGTGAAGGACTCGGTAGCTCAATTAGTTAGTGCAAAGCACGGAACGCTGACGATGCCGGTTCAAGTTCTGGCCGAGTCGTAATTTTTTTCATTTTATAATCGATTTTTTATTTATATTAGTATCATCATGTGCATTTAAATAATATAAGTTTCTGTTGATTGTAACTTTTGAAAATATTCTGCACATGTTATTCGCACATTATGGTTTAATATAAATTAAAAATCTATATGGATTAAATAAAATAGGCGATAGGGATGGGACTTCCACGGCATCCACAACGTTCCGTGCTGCTTCTCTAATCATTTCAGCTACCGCGTATAGTAGATTTTCAATTTAGGTCGAAACTTATTTAAAAACTTTAATGCTATTTAATTTAATTTCTAAATATCCAAGGTGTTGAGTTTTAAATTGCATTACGCAAGAGATCCGTGTAAGAAATTCGATAATGACGAGCGAGACTCGGTAGCTCAATCGGTTAGAGCAACACGGAACGGTGTGGATGCCAGTTCAAACCCCGCCCGCGTCATTGATTTTTTTCAGTACCTACTCAAAAAAGGCGGTCCTTATTTTGATTTCTATATGTTTCTTACTGTTCGTTGTTAATGATTTCGTCGTTTATGAACGGAATTTAGTTTTCTGCGTTTCTAAGAAAAATATACAAAATTCTAGTATCCCAGAGTCTAGAATTGGAGGTGTCATCATCTCCTACTTCGGAGAGGACGTTATGCTTTCGTTTCCGGTCATCATCACTAACCTAGTGATATACTCAAACCCGTTAAACCCCACTGGAACAGACTTATCTAGCCATTTCTTAAACACCCTGTTTCATAAGAGGCCCATGCCCAGCGCTGGGAAACGGTAAAATTAAATCCAATGCAATGGTTTTAAATTAATGAATGTTTATCCACAATTTCCAATGATAAATAATCATTTAAATTCAGCGCACTCGCACAATGGAGCCTTCTCTTTTATACCGGTTGTGAACAATCTCCAACGACAAATAGAGTGTTTGTTCGCGGAATTGTACGGTAAGACTTTATTTGAGCTATTTTGTTTGAGCATTTTTATACGTGTCGCACGGTTGACGTACCTACATCTGTAATGCTCAGTGAGATGTGAAATATGATTTCTGGATTAAGATTTACAACATATGTCTATACTAATGTGTATAGCTGAAGAATTTGTTTGTTTGAACGCGCTAATCTCACGAACTACTGGATTATGTATGTGTTAGTTAGTGCATTTATCGAGGAAGGCTATTTATTATTACTGATTTATTTATATTTTTACAATCTAAAAATATTAATTTACAAGAGCACAGTGACCGACAATTCTTAACATAATTCTTACACAAATAATAGTACAAATTCACTTTCGCCTAAGTTAATTGTGCAATTTTATTTTCCTCCTTATTGGAAATCATGTTATTTGTTATTGGGTCACTATGTTTCTACTAGCGGCCTCATTTGTGCAAAAAGTTTGAACGGTATGTTACAGATTTATATAAAAATTTTAATCCCAATTTGCCCTGTGGCATGGGACAAACTTACTTTTATGTCCGTTCCACAGTGCCAATTATTTACAGGCAAGTGGTACATTAAATATGTCTATAGTTTACGCGAGTAGTACACATTTAAATAAAACACTTCAACGGTTTAAAACGCGACATATTAGTTAAACTTATTTAAAAATGATTTTTAACTTCGACCCGACGTTTCGGATGCTTTGCAACAGCCGTGGTCACGGGGAGACTAAAGATGGAGGATGTCTCGACGTCAAAGTAAAAATTGCTACGCTAATGCCATCTGTTCCGTCGAAGTTGGTATTTGGCGAAACTGGCCTGGGTTATTACAGAATTGACTAACGTCTTCGCGTTTGCCGGTATGCTGTTTATTGGGATCCAGAGTTTTAAATATGGGATCCCATGTATTTGATAATTTGAGGCCGCCCTCCCCATTGAAATTTCTGTGGTTTTCAAATAAATTTAAGTAATATATCGCGTTTTAAACCGTTAAAGTGTTTTATTTAAACATACCGCAAACTTGTTAAAGTATTTTTTTTATCAAAAGACGGTCTTTTATGTAGCTGCTATTTCGAGGTACCTATATTGGTGCCCTTTTTTCTCCGCATCAGCAAACGATTGTTTCAGCAACTTACTCAACAGTTTTCTTATTGTTCTGACAGCGGCCGAGCAACTTCGAAATTGTATTAGTTATCGGTTATTGATTATTTTTTCTGTCTTTTACAAAAGAAAACCCAACACTGTTATATTTATTTAGATCAGTGATTCCCAAAGTGGTCCAGGACCCCTAGGGGTTTATGATAACCTGCAAGGGGTCTACCCTTCAGCGAAAAAAAGCATTTAGGTGTCCATGAAATGAAAATAGCGTCTTGAATTTCAAGCTACAGCTTAGAAATTTACAGGAAATACGCAAGTATCAAGGTCGAAGTTACGAACTACCCAACATGGAAAAAAATTGACAATGTGGTCTGCGACACAATAGTCAATTGGTGAGCAACTCTGAAGTTAGATAGGTTAAAAAACATATACATATTCAAGTTTACGCGAGTGGAGCACCATTAAATAGAATTGACGGCTCTAAACGACAAAATATTTGACTGTTACAAACCCTCCATGACAACGGCTACCTACTGCTCAGTATCCGAAAACGCAGGGCTGTAGTTAAAATAAATTAAAACGTTTAAAACCGTTAACAATGTTTAAATACGCACACTTATGTTCACTTTAAAAGTCAAAATAACACTTAATCACGACAATGACAGACAGATAAAAACTTTATACTATCGGCATGTCTATCTGTTTGTAGTAGACAGTAGTTAAAACTAAATTTACATTTCGCGTTTTGATCTGAATATGATTTGATGAAAACGTTTTATTTTTTTACCACACGCTAACTGGTAGATGTATGGTAGTGTGTGTGAAAATAAATGTATCATTTTATGAACACAGATTATCATCATCATCGAAAATACGAATTAATGTGGATACTGAAAATAAATATTAATGGACAAAGCTGTCCATATGAGGATATCCGGTTATTGATAGCGGGGCTTCGTCGGTTTCCCGCGCAATTTATTATATCATGATAGCACTATTACTATTTTTATAGACCAATAGTTATCGCGAACTTTTCACCGTCTAACACTTCAAGGCGGCTCGCGCTTATTTGCAACGTTAGCGGTCGCGCAGGGTCAAAAAGACCACTACTTACGGGGGGGGGGGGGGGGGGCCCCCCCCCCCCCCCCCCCCCCGGGGGGGGGGGGGGGAAAAAAAAAATTTAAAAAAAGGTAAAAAAAAAAAACGGGGTTTAAAACGGGGGAGGGGTTTTTTTGAAGGGGGGTTTTTCTCGGGGAAACAAAAGACAGGTTTCAAAAAGACCATTTTTATTTTTTCAGTAACAGAAACATTTTCGATCTTCAGATATGAAGTATGTAATTGAATATAAGTCGAAGCTGCATTATACATGTTTGTATCCCGGTACTAGTGTTGTACTACAGGTTGCTTTGAAGTTAAGCGGTCGATAGTGTTGTGATCCCTAGCGTCGTTTTTGACTTCTCAGAGTAGTACTAAACGAATAGTACTTTTTTCAACAGCCACTGTTTATTAAATAACTTTTAACAAATATTGACATCAATTTTGCCATTACGTAATCTCTTCACTTACAAATAATTCATGTATTATGTGTTTTATTTCACGTGTATCACACTGGCTGTCAAACCCTTCACATTTATCAGTAAAGTATTAACATAAATGCGTGAAACCCTGTTTCACCATGTAGTTAATAAGGCGAATAGATGTATGCGTCCGTTTCACTGACAAAGTTAATTTACAGGCAAAGAGTTGATCAACCTTCTGTGCTTCAACTCAATGCTAAGCAACTAAGCATACGTATCTAGTGTGTAGTATCTAGTTGTAATTGTATGTATGAAATTGTACTTGCTTTTCCTTCTAAAGAAAGTGTTGTTTAATTTTCAAAATTCTTTGTTTCAGATCAAAATGTCCCCACCCGATGCAACATGGAAGTCTCATTCAAGTGTGGCATGAAACATACACCATGCGTCCCTGTCCAACTTGGTTGGCAACGCTACTATTCTTCATCCAACACTCCGAAATGAAGCATAACATGGAGACGAACGAGAGACACCACCACAGGCACCGGCATAAAACACCAGACTCCTACCAATACAACCCATACTTCGAAACGGACTTCCAAGATGCTGATAGAGGAGTAGACTTCGACATAGTGGCTCTTGATAGTGAGAGTAAGAACAGCTGGATAAGAATGCCGAACGATCATACTGAACTCAAGGATAAGAAACATCAGCACTGGCCGTTGAAAAGAGAAGCTGTTATAGAAGGAGATCTGGTGCTAGGCGGTCTGATGATGGTCCACGAGAGGTCAGAGAACATGACGTGTGGCCCAGTTATGCCGCAGGGCGGTGTCCAGGCTCTGGAGACGATGCTGTACACGTTGGACATTATTAATCACAAATTGAAGCTCATACCTGGTGTAGTGATTGGGGCTCATGTTTTGGATGATTGTGATAGAGATACCTATGGATTGGAGATGGCTGTAGACTTCATAAAAGGTATTTTTAAATGATAAAGGCGATGGTAGTTCACGTGATGGTAGGGAAAATACCTAAGCCTATAGCATCTAAACAAGATGCACTGTCAACGAATTTTGGCTTTGGATATTCGGAAATCCGCTGAAACCGAAACGTGATTAAACTTCACGGCTTCTTTAAGTGTAGACGGTGATTCGTGACCCTCACTGAATATCGATATTGCTACCACCAATTTAATGTGCAGATTTCTAGACGAAGTCCAACACGTTTCAGAAGAAGTTTAAATTAATTGAAAAAAATGTTGGAGTTAATTATTACAACAGCTTCATATTGACGGGCTCCATCAAAAATGTTATTAATTTATGATTAATTGTTACTTTAAAAAATCTAAAACGCCAAATATAACTTTGCTAAAAGTAACGTTTAATCGGGTCTGTGGAATTCCGAATGTCCAAAGCCAAATTAGCTAAAAAATCTTGTTTAAATATTATAAACGTGAAGTATTCCATCACGTCCTGCTCTGTTATATAAGTAAAATAATTTATCTACCATACATTGTGTAAGTTACACGGCTATCGTTCAGCATATCATTGTTTTTCGGGTTTTTTGATTGAAGAATTAATCGAGGAAGGAGCTAACGTCTCTTGATTATTCCGTCCGCACGTCATGGCGTAACGTCGTGAACCTCTAGCTCACATCGGCCGAACAATCCCGAAAAACAATTATATGCATTTATCTATACATCTACTAGATGTGCATATTATTCCAGGTTCCATAAGCAACATAGACGATGCAGAATATGCATGCAATGCAACAGCGATGAGGAAGGTCATATCCGGTGTGGTCGGTGCCGCATCCAGTGTAACATCGGTTCAAGTAGCCAACCTCCTGAGGCTTTTCAAGATACCACAAGTGAGTATTGTGAGTTTGAAACGCGAAAAATAATCGCAATGCCTTTACGCCTCGTGACTACGTCTGCTGTAAAGCATCCGAAACGTCGTTCAGGATAAGTAAACTAATGTAAGAGTCTGCTAAAGACAGAGTGGCCTAATAACAACAATATATAAAAAATAAGTCATAGAAATTGCAGTTAGGCACAGATATTAGCATACGGATAAAAAGTAATTAGGGAAAAAGGGACTGCAGAAACGTTGAAATCCAGTAACGGCATAGACGGGACTGCGACCAGCATCCACAGCGTTCCGTGCTGTTGCTCTAACCAATTGAGCTACCTTGTCCTACACGTCACCATCGATTTTTTTTCAACCTAACACGCACCTCTCAACATCGACGTGTTGTAGCTATAAATTTTAAATCTAAAATAGATTTTTCATTTATATAAAGCCATTCAAAATAACAATTTTTCCAATATTAAACATATTTAAATCACACGTTAAGGGTTTGTAACACGAAATCTATTAGTAAATCTTGTTTACAATTATTTTTAATTTGAAACGTCGGGCCGTAGTTAAAATTATGATAATTTGTAAATAAGTTTAATATATTTCGCGTTTTAAACCGTTAAGTGTTTTATTTCAATGTCTAGACGTAAACAACGACAGTATATAAGGAAATATTACATTTCTAATTAATTATATTTTTTTAATGAAAAAACTAAATACTGCCAAATTAGGTGGAAACGAATAAATAAACTGTCGTCTCACAGAAATTAAATTGTGAAGACCGCAAAATAATTTCGTTCACTCTAAGGCTTTATTTTCCTTTTATTAAAAATATTTTCTCAGAAAAATATTTTTCCAGCTCAAATGTACGTTAATTAGAAGACAACTCTCAAGTATAGTCTGTAATTTACGCGAGTAGTGCACCTTTAAATAAAATTCTTTAAACGCGAAACAATTACTAAGTTTTTACGTCATTTTAACTACGACATGACGATAGAAGGTTTCCTAAATAAGTTATAAATCGATTTTAAATTTTTTAAAATACGACACGGGCAATATATCGTTACCGGCATCGATAGCGTTCACGTCGGTAGACATGGAGGACACCGTAGCTCAATTAGTACAACGATATCTAACTAAATACTGTCTATAGTTTACGTGAGTAGTACACATTTAAATAAAACACTTTAACGGTTTAAAACACGCAGCCGTGGTCTCCTTGTGACCACGGCCGCTGCAAAGTATACGAAACGTTGGGCCGAAGTCAAAAGTCATTTCCAAATAAGTTTAACTAATGTATCGCGTTTTAAAACGTTAAAGTGTTTTATGTAAACATCTAACTAATTGAGCTACCGTTTCCTACAAGTCATCGTCGAATTTTCTCAACCTATTGATACATGCACCTTTCGGGCAATGTAATTTCAACACATTTGCGTATGAAGGTCACGGGGACACCATGGCTGCTGCAAAGCATCCGAAACGTCGGGCCGTAGTTAAAATTATTTTAACCCGTTAATGTGTTTTATTAAAATGTGTACTACTGTACCTGAGGTCATAAAAAAATAATTAATATATTTTTCGTTTAAATACATTAAAAAGGCTTTATTTAAATGCATCGTACTCGTGTTTTAATTAATGTAATTATTATTTGTCTTATAAGGCGAGATCCGTCTTCCTCTAGTATACACCAAACTTTTGTGTTTATGGTTAAACGCCTTGTCTAATTTTTCTAACAAGAAGACTGGGATTTGAATGCCAGGGGAGACATGTAAATATCTATATACCCACAACATTCATTATAAAATGATTATAGAACTATTTGTGTGTGTGTGTGTGTGTGTGTAAAACATTTATGAACCCATCAACGAGTTAACGCCTCCGCACTCGTCTACGGTCAATAAACGTAACCAAAGGAAAATAAAGTCCCAATTCCGCAAGTACATAGACCCCGATAACCTTTATTTAGTTTTACCTGAATCAAGGGTCTCTTTGGGGTCGGGAAGGGCTGATTGAATTTACCAAATGTCTTGAAAGCATCGCCATATTGTCCACTTTGGGGCGAAGTGTTTTATAAATATTTCTTCAACTGAGATAAATCGATTTTAAATGTTCTGTTTCAATTTCTTTCCCAGTGACGCACTTCAACAAAAACATATTTAAACCCTTTTAAAATAAAAGATTTAAAACGGGTCTCCAAAAGACCAAGACAGCTGTAATTGAAAACGACAGGTGGTACTAAAATTAATCAACAAACATATTTTCCGTTTAAGACCAGTACAGAAGATTCAATCGAATACTGTCTGTAGTTTATGCGAGAAGTACACAGTTCATATAGTCTATGTTTATGACATTTAATCTGCAGCTGTCAAAAAATTATTCGCTCCTGTCACTTCCAACTGTGGAACGAGCGCGCGTGAGTTTCATATTTTAATTAATATTATACGTTTTTTCCTGTCAATTCATGCTAAGTTCTGCTAAAAGTGCAATTAACAAAACACAAATACATACACATTTAAATAAAACACTAACGGTTGAAACGCGATATATTTTAGCTTTCACGGGGAGACACGCGTCTAACAAGTAAACTAACAAGGCCATTGCAAGCATCCGAAACGTCGGGCCGTAGTTAAATAAAAAAAGTCTAAATAAAATATAACGCGTTATTTGTTTATTTAAGAAAACAGGAAACAAACAGAATTATCACAGAATCGTATTATAAGGAATTTAAAAAAAGTAGAGTACAGATACTCCCTTAAATAGTTTCACAGATAAAATCGAGTTTTAACAATAACACAACTAGACCATGAAAAACAATGATAGACATCAAAATTACAGTATTATAGTTACACTGAAAACTGGGAGCACTTAACATTAATTTTACATAAATTGACTTTATCCTCAAATGAGTCTATCGAAGAACACATTCTGTGGAGGAGTGCACGGTGTTTTATTTAAAAGTTTAAATCAGTTTTTATTAAAGTACAATCTAGTATGTACAACCTTCAATTAACAATTTAGAATTATATATCGTTGGTTGTATATTATATTTATAATTAATAAGGCTTTACAAGAAAACGATTACTAAGTATTTTATTGTCATAAGGTTTAAAAAAAATCATATAAAAAATGCGTTAAGGAATTCGACGTGATTGACATGATAGCTCAATTGGTTTAAGCCAATGTGTCTTGACTTTTTTCAATCTAAATTGATTTTTAATTATGTAATAAAATAGGTAATGTCATGGTATGCGCACACTATGGTAAACTTTGTAAAAAAAAAAAAAAAAAAAAAAAAAAAAAAAAAGGGGGGTTTAAAACACGGCCAAAAAAAAAAAAAAAAAAAAAAAAAAAAAAAAAAAATATATAAATTATATAAAAAATGTATGTACTGTAATTAATACGCAAGTGTTGAAATTACATTGCGCGAGAGGTGCACGTATCGAAGTTTGAATAATTCGACGAAGTCGTGTTGGACACGGTAGCTCAATTGGCTAGAGCAACAAGAGGTTCAATTTTTGCACATGTCGTAATTGTTATTTTTTCAATTATTAGCTAGTGAAATGGTTATTTTTTGGAGGTTAAAAAAGACATTTTCTGTCAACAGGTATCCTTTTTCTCTACGTCTCCTGAGCTTTCAAACAAGGCACGCTTTGAATACTTCACCCGGACGATACCATCAGATCTACATCAGGTAACACCTACTTGATTTATCTTAAAATTAGATTTAAAATGGTCTAAGACTAGGGAAGCAATTATGTCTTCAATCAGCTCAGGGTTCTGATCAATTGCTTGCCTGTTCGCAAAAGTTATTTATGATAATGATGGCATGTCAGATCTTATATTAAAAACATTAACATACTTTGACGGTTAAAAACGCGAAATATATTAGTTAAACTTACAGCCACAGTTAGTCACGGAAGACTGCTGCTGCAAAGCATCCGAAACGTCGAGCCGTAGGTAAAATAATTTTTAACTAAGTTTAAATAATATGTTTCGAGTTTTTAAACCGTTAAATGTGTACTATTCAAAAAAATCTCTAAAACTCATAGAAAACAACGTTTTGATTACAAATTTAAAATAAATGGAAAAAAAATCGACTCGGGCAGGACTTGTACCGTCAACATCAGCGTTTCGTGCCATAATGTATCATAACCAATTAAGCTACCGAGTCAGAGCAACAGCAGCCAGTTCAAGTCCCGCCCGAGTCGTAATTGTTTTTCAATTTATTTTCCATTTTTAATCTATATAGTGCCATCATCTGCAATAATATGTAAAAAATATTAATGTTTTCAAAACAACGTTTGCCGGGTCAGCTCTATAAAATGCTGGTGCATCAAAGATTTATGTGTTATCTTCGGTTTTGGCAACCGCTCAGACGTTTACTTCAACGTATAACGGATTTGGTTGTTGGACACGAAAATATACGTGGCAAAAATACTTCAGATAGTTTACGCAAGTAGTACACATTTAAATAAAACACTTTAACGGCCACGGGAGACTGAACGGCTGCTGCAAAGCATCCGAAACGTCGGGCCGAAGTTAAAAATCATTTGTATATAAGTTTAACTAATATATCGCGTTTGAAACCGTTAAAGCGTTTTGTTTAAATACTTTACTACACTTTACCTCATAAGAAGGTATATTATAATATATATTAGCAAAGATACTAATGTTACAAAAAGGAAAAAAAAATTAGAGAGTGTGTGTGTTAGTGTATTTGTACTGAATTAACTCAAAAACTATTGTACCCTACCTTTACGTGTTTGTGCACGCTGTATGTACGCGAGCAGAATTGAAACCAAAACAATTTTAATGGTTTAAAACGAGAAATGTATTAATCAAACTTACGCCACGATAATGTCTATAGTTTCCTCGTGAACACGGCTGCTGCAAAGCATTCGAAACGTCAGGCCGTATTTAAAAATAATTTTCAAACAAGTTTAACTAAAAAATTCTGCGTTTTAAACCGTTAAAGTGTTTTATTTAAATGTGTACTACTCGCGTAAACTATAGACAAAAAAAAATCCGCCCTTTGTATCGGCGGCCATCTTGGTTATCTAAATTAAATGTTTGAACCAAATTTCAGATCAATCTGACAACTTCTAATTTTAGAGCTAAATAAAACAGTTTAATAAATGCTTGCACAAATAAAATATTTTGTATTCATAATGTGTTGCATATTGCAATAAAACAACAAAAATATAAATAAAATTGACCATGCGGGGATGCGATAGGGCGCTATAACATATTATGTATATGCTACTTTAGGTATCATTAATATGGCAACACAATGTTTGCCAGTTTAGCTAGTATGTTATATTATGATTATTGGTGGCTCTTACCAACCTGACACGGTAGCTCAGTTGGCAAAAGCTATAACGGTTGCGAAAATGGTGCAAGATACTCAAAAAATATGTGTAAAAGAATATTTCCTCTTTACATGATCGGAATGGCCGCCACACAGTATATCTTTCTGTTAAAATTAACTTGAAACAACGACGGGACGCAACTGACGTCGTGGCTAACGGTTTAAATTTATAAACACAGCTTTATAGGTGTGCAAAAAAATGGATGCCGAACATAACTATTTAACGTGGACGAAGTCCCTAACCCAGTTAGAGATTTATAAATGAGTTGACTTATATATTTTGCGATTCGAACCGTTTTAATTTAAAAGTGATTAGCGTAAACTACAGAATATGCTAACCACCCTTTTCCACAAATCGTTAATGCCGGACCGACCACTAATATAAGCATCCATTAAATGCCAACAACACAATATCAAAACGTCAAAACATTTACAGTGACTGAGCATTAGAGATGAGCTAAATGTAGCTGAACCGAAACCGAAGATTCGGTTTTAAAAATACAATTACATAGCTAAAAAGCTTTAGAGGTGACTTAATTATTATGAATGTTTTAAATGAATATTTATTTATTAACTTTATTAATTACAAACACCACAGAAATGGTTTACAACAATAAATTCTTTATATGACTCAAAATGACAAAAAAATATTAAAAATAAAGCACTTCAACGGTTTAAAACACGATATTAGTTAAACTTATTTGAAAATGATTTTAATTACGGCCCGACGTTTCTGCTCTGCAGCAGTGATCACGTGGAGACATAAAACAATTATTTACAAAAAAAGTTTCATTAATATATGTCGCGTTTTAAACCGTTTTAGTTAAATGTTTACTTCTCGCGTAAACTACAGATACTATTTAATTCCTCAATTTTTTTTTAGATAAAGTCTAAACACGTTTTAATTAAAGTAAAAATGTACTAGTTCATTATAAACATTGACAAGCAAGTCGCATAAATTTGATTTATAATTATCAACACAGGGGCCGTATTCGTAATCCGGGTACGGTCCTATCTTTTGATTACACTAATTAATTCTAACAGTCATTGCTTTGTGTTCGTTCAAGGTCTCTTATATTAACCTTTTTTCGAAGTGTTATTGTGTTTCTGTATAGTTAATTGTGAAATGAAATTAATAACCTTTATTTACGAACCAATGGACTTTTCTGAATAATAATAACTAGCTGGTCAGCGGTCGTCCGATGAACAATTATTTGGGCCTGAAAATTTCCATCCTTAACATTTGAGCCATCGGTGAAGTCCCGCTCCTCCACATATTGTAGCTAGTTTCGCTTCTTATTAATTGCAGCACAGTATAGCCTTTCTCGATAAATGCTCTAACCAACACAAAACAAAATTTTTCAATTCCCACCGGTCATCTGAGACTAGCGCCTTCGAACGAACAAACAAACACACTCTTCAGCTTTATATGGCAGTATAGATACAATAATTTGTATAGTCTCCTTATTTAACTTTTTATGAGTAAAGTATAGTATAATTAAATTAGAATTTCACCAAAACCGAATATTATTCAAAATTCGGTTAAATCTAATTGTTGAACATCACTACTGATTATGAACATTCGAGTGACAATTTACAATGGCATCAGACAAATTGGATCAGATTGTTGGAATAGAATTAATAAGTAACAAGTTGGAATGATCGGTGGAGTTACTAAAACTTGCACCGTGTGAAATAAGCTTCAAATTCGTTGGGAATAGTTCGAGTGGAATTTTAGGGGAAAATTTTCACCAAATTTAACCACTTTAAAACGGTTTTTGTGAGATACTGTCTGTAGTTTACGCGACTAGTACACATATTTTAACGGTTTGAAACGCGATATATTTTAGCTAAACATGTCTAAAAATTATTTTTAACTACGGCCCGACGTTTCGGATGCTTTGCAGACTTTGTGACCACGGCTGCTAACCGTTAAAGCGATTCTTGTGACTTAATCTTTAAAGATATACATATACTAGCTCGAATAGTCTTTTAGATTTTTAAATTGACTGAGAAGCTGTAAAACATGAAATTGCAAATCCACCGACTAAATACGAAATCTGTGGATTTCTGAATATCCAAAGCCTGGGTAGATGTATGTACAGAGAATCTTAATTAATTGTAATAGTGTAGCCCATGTGTATCTGTCCTATAATGTAATAAACATATTGTATTATTCATAAAATGCAAATGCATTAATCTGTATATCAGTATTGTATATTTATAGCATATGCACTATGTATGTATATCTAAATACTAAATGTCTATAGTTTACGCTAGTAGTATATACATTTAAATAAAAAACTTGAACGGTTTAAAACGCGAAGTATATTAGTTAAACTTATTTGAAAATTATTGTAACTATGGGAGACCCACGTGACCACGGCTGCTGCAAAGCGTCCAAAACGTCGGGCCTCTATCTAATATAAACGCCATTTATTTTATAGTAAACTTTATTTAAAAATTATTTATGGCCCGACGTTTCGGATGCTTTGTAGTAGCCGTGGGCACGTGGTCTCCCAGCGACCACGGCTTCTATTTAACTAATATATATCGCGTTTTAAACCGTCGAAGTGTTTTATTTAAAGGTGTACTCGCGTAAACTACGGACAGTATTGAATACTATTTATTTTAAATTATTCTTTGGATCGCTAAGATTATTCTTGATTGCTAGACTATTGATCTGCTCACAAGCCAACGAGATCCTGAGGGATAGAGACGCAATAATTATATATACAGTGATCAATCATCCCTCTTCCCTCGGGAACCCGAGATCGATGAGTTATAAGAGTTAATCAACTATTCCAGGCTGAGAAAAAGTGGATTTCATTTTTAAGGATTCAGATGTTGAACTTCTTATGGATCGAGTTTCTCGACGTTTCGAAATATCTTTATGAAGTCTACCACTAGCTGAGACCGCGACTTCGTCGGCTAGGAACAGTTATTATGGGTAGCATTTTTTTTTTGCAAACCGCCTTAGCAATCAATTGTAAAGGCTTTCACGGCTACCGTTCAGCATATGATTGTTTTTCGGTGGCTGTTCGGTTGACGTGAGCTAGGAGAGGTTCTCGACGTTTCGCCATCACGAGCGGACGGTATAATCAGGAGATCTAATTAACTCCTCCGCCGGAACAGCCCTTAAAACAATGGTAAACTTTCTCAGCTTTATGAGTTGCTGTTACCCTCGGCGTCGTCCGGGCCACGTCGTTCTTGCAAGTAAATCATTAAAATTAGATATTTACCGTCACGGACATTGTTTTAAATGAGTACAAGAAGAATCGCCAAATAACAACTTCTGTCTGTAGTTGGTACGCGAGTAGTACACATTTAATTAAAACACTTCAGCGGTTTTTAAACACCCCGTGACCACGCCTAACTACAAACTGCATCTGAATTGTAGTCGGGCCGTAGTTAAAATAAAAGGGAAATAAATTTTACTAATATATATCGCGTTTTAAACCATTAAAATTCGTTTCTTTAAAATAATATTTCTTTTGTACATATAAAGCAAAAACCGCAAAGTTCCACATTTTATTGTGTCTCTTTGTCCCCATTAGTCGCAATTTTATAGCCACAGCCTACTCGATAAACGGTCCAACCAACAAAAAAATCAATTCAAACCAGTAATTCTTGACTTTAGCGCTTTCAAACAAACAAACCCTTTAGCTTCAATATTAGTATAGATTGGTGTCTTCGTAGCTCAATGGTACGCCTGGCGTAGCAGGTCCCGTGTTGAAATGGCGGGAAAACGAAAAATCATTTCAGTTCTATAAAAGTCTAACTTCCTGAAAACCTAATCGATCAGCGGACACAGAAATATGTATGTCCCTTGCCCCATTCAATACGAAGAGTTCATTTTTCAAGAGTTCCGATTTCTCCGAAAACCCAACATCAAAACATCTTGTTTAGATGTTAAATGGCTGGGTTATAGCACTTACCATCAAGTTTGTCCTATATTATATTTTCAAATGTCTCTTACAGGTGCGGGCTATGGTTGAGATCGTCAAGAAACTCGGTTGGAGTTACGTCTCCATCATTTATGAGGAGTCCAGTTATGGAATTAAGGTTAGTAGATAAGAGTAAATACTTATATAAATAAATAATGTAATGTAATAGTAAAGGATAAAAATAGATGTAAACACATGTACATTAATTTTATTTATAATAACTATGAAACAATTAAATAAAACACTTTAACGGTTTAAAACGCGATATATTGGGTTAAACTTATTTGGAAATTATTTTTAATCGCGACGTCAATGTAAAAAACAGCCGTGGCCACGTGGAGACAAACGATGGACGTCAGTTTTTACTTTGACGTCAGAGACCCCCTCCATCTTAAGCTTCCCCGTGACCACGGCTGCTGCAAAGCATCTGAAAATAGGCCGTAGTTAAAATAATTGTCAAATAAGTTCAACTAATATATATCGCGTTTTAAACCGTTAAAGTGTTTTATTTAAAAAACGTACATTCTATTCTAGTTTTTATAGATTAGCGTCGTAAGATACATGATCTTACGACGCTAATCAATAAGGTCAAAGCTCTAGCCCGACTCTGGCTTCAAAGGGGTCCTTCAATGATCTAGAATACCACTTCACTCAGTTTACTATCAAAAGCAAAACAGAGTAAAAGGGTCTCGTAGAAGAATTACATAAATATACTGTTTTACGAGGTACAATTTTAAGAACAGTGTAAATATTTTTAGGTTTTTGGCATAGGATCAAAGTACTAGTTAGCCTAGACTAGAGTAATTCATAAATTGGAAAATATATTTCGCGATTTTAAGCAGTTTAAAGTGTCACAACCTATATTTCTGTTTAAAGCCAAAATAGGCCGACAGCGCATCTATTGACATGTTATATAACTGGAGCATTTGACCTACCATCAATTGAATGTTTATAGTCAATGCGGATGACCGCATAGTGCCTTCTGTTAGATCTTTGAATGCAAGCGAATGGGAGATTGTTTACGCTCGGTCGATTTTCCGCTTTTCTCCGTAATCCTGATGTCCAGGTATTAAAACGGATTTTCTTGTAAAATTATGGTGTAATTTTCCTCACTTCTGTGCTATAGAAATAGAGAATAAAATCAAGTCGTCGCAGCACTTTCAACGGTTTAAAACGCGAAATATATTGGTTACTTTAATATTTGACCGTGCCGAGGTTTTGGATGCTTTGAGGAGATAGGAACAGGTATTCATTGACTTTTTTCACAAATCGGATTTTTCTATAAGCCTTATTACAGTACATGTAGTACATATCTAAATAAAACACTTTAACGGTTTAAAACGCGAAATATATTTATATTTATATTTGACCGTGCCGACGTTTTGGATGGTTTGTAGCTATATAAACAGGTTTTTATTTGCCTTTTTCACAAATTGGATTTTTCTATAAGCCTTATTACAGTACATATAGTAAATATCTAAATAAAACACGGTTTAAAACGAGATATATATTAGCTAAGGGTGGGGTCTCCCGGTGACCACGACTGTTGAGCATCCGAACGTCGGACCGAAGTTGAAAATAGTTTTCAAATAACTTTAACTAATATATATCGCGTTTAAACCCGTTAAAGTGTTTTATATAAATAGATATCTGTTTATTCGAACCCAGGTAGCCCATAAAAGCAATGAAATTCAAATCACGAAGGTGGTATATGATATAAATAATAAATCATTTTTAATGTCATTATTTATTATCTATAAACGACATCCACAGAACTATGTATTGTATTATTAAAATAATTGATTCAACCCGTAACTGTCGTTACTATGAATGCCAGCTTATCTTAAGCTATGGTCTCCTAATACGCTATACATCGAGTACCATTAAATGCTGTATTGTTGCTTTTTCTCTCACTAAACTGACATATGTTCAAAATCGTGTATACTTGAAAGATTTCCTATCAGTAACTAAGAAAACATTTAAAAAATCTAATGCTACCTTTTTGAAGTTGACCGCCTTGTTTTCGTCAGGGAGGGCCCAGAAGTCTGTTCAACTGTTGAATTGTGAATAAAAACGATTAATGGAAGGACACAATGTGTTTGCCTTATGCCCCCCCCCCCCTCAGGCGGGGGGAGGGGGCGGATTTCACTTTGCTTGTCTAAAACTAGTCAAGAACTGCATGTATTGTTTAGGCCTCTGTGTCTATTTTATTTTATTTTTACTAGTTGTTACTATAGCGGCAAGAAATTATATGTATTTAGAAAATTCCAACTCTCTATTAATCACACTTCTTGGCATGTTATGAGTTTATACTTATGGTTCATTTTCAAAACGGCCTTTGAGTTATTTTATGAAAAAAAATAACAAGGATCGACTAATCCAAGATATTGCTCTGTGGAAGTCGTCTCATCGCTTGGTATACCGCGTGTAAAGGAGACCGGAGCTTAAGCTAAACCCATCTCTACTGTTCCATTTGCTTCATAATTGAATTGCTATGTACAACTTCAGATCCATTGTGGAACTGGCTATTTCCTAATCAGATTATGTTAACTTGCAAGATTGTATGTGCTTGGATAACTGGATAGATTATATCAGGTCGAATCAAACATGTTTCAAACTATCACCATTCTCTAGGGTAGAATAGGGTTTTAAGAGCCAAGACCCACCATGATGTGAGTGGTAGGAGCAAAGAAACAGCGGGATTATTTATCCTTGTAAGTTTCCATTCCGTACGCTTCGAAAACGGGTCAAGATACCAAAAAAGTATGTACGAAAGAATGATTCCTCTATAATGATCTAAAAAGTCCGCCTATCTTTTAAAATTAACTTACAAGAACGACGAGACGAACGACGTGGGGTAACGGCTTTAAATTTATAGAGTTGAACAGGAGGTTTTCAAAAAACAAATTCGATACCCAAAATAGTACGTGGACAAAGTCATTTGATGAGGGATCATTCTTTATTACATAAGTACATCGGTGTCAAATAAGTTTAACTAATATAACGCGTTTTAAACCGTTAAAGTGTTTTATTTAAATGTGTACTACTCGCGTAAACTATAGACAGTATTTAAGTATCGGTAACTTAAACTGTTACGCAACTTAAACGTAAACGAAATCCACCAAGACGAATTACCCCGTTTTCTTCACTTCCTGTCTTCGCTCCCATTTGTCGCAGCTTGATTCTTTACACCTCGATAAATGCTATAGCCAACACAATTTCAGTTTGAACTACAAGTATTGGCATTAGTGCGTTTAAAACAAACAAAGTATTCAGTCTATAGTTTACGCGAGTAGTACACATTTAAATAAAACACTTTAACGGCTTAAAACGCGTTATATTAATTAAACTTATTCGAAAATGATTATTAACTTCGGCCCGACGTTTCGGATGCTTGCAAGCAGCCGTGATCAGTCCGGCCAGTTTCGCCAAATACCAACTTCGACGGAATAGATGGCGCTAGCGTAGCATTTTTTTACTTTGACGTCAGAGACGTCCTCCATCTTTAGTCTCCCCGTGACCACGGCTGCTGCAAAGCATCCAAAACGTCGGGCCGAAGTTAAAAATAATTTCCAAATAAGTTTAACTAATATATCGCGTTTTAAACCGTTAAAATGTTTTATTTAAAGTATTCAGCTTTATATATTAGTATAGATAGAAGCCCACAAATGGTGTGGTGATAGCAACATCACTTTCGTATTGAATCACGAATATAATTAATTTAAAACCGTTAAAAGTGATATAATTCTATAATTCTACCCCCGCCTATAGCATCTAAACACGATGCGCTGTCGACTCTATTTTGGCTTTGGATATTCCGAAATCCTTAGACGAAAACCGAAACGCGATTAAGCTTCGTGGCCTTTTCATCTGTGGACGGTGGTACGTGACGTAATATCTACATTCCTACCATCTACCATTAGAAACATGTTAACCTGGTGGGGATCGCACCCACGTCCCGTTGATTGGTCGTACATAGTATTAGACCATCCCGTCCGTCTTGCTTAAATACAGCATATGACACTTTATCGTACAGAACCCGCGCCCGACTTGCATTTATTTACAGCGCATAAGTTCACATGAATACAACGCTATTTATTTTTATTTTAAACTCGCATAACTCCGCATTGTTACTCCAGCAACACATAATTTCAACTTTACAAAAGTTCCTTTCATGTACTTTACAATGAAAACACAGCATAACTTCGGTATTAACTCGTACGAAGAAACATAAAATATAAAGTTCCGAAGGCGTTCTCGCGGCGAGGTAAAAATTTGTCGTGGAACTTTCGTGCGCGAGTTATTGTGAACGTTATAGAATAGTTACAGTTTCCGAATTGAAAACGAAAACGAATGTTTTTGTCCCTCTCTTAGAAAAAACACTTTTAACATTTAAAACAAGACATATATCTACTTATTTTTTATTAATTATAACGAAGACCGGGCGTTTTGATGTTTCCCATGACCACGGATGCTTCGCGTCCGAGAAGTAATCTATACTGTGTTGTTTGTTTGAACGCGCTAATCTCGGAAACTACGGGTTGGAATTAAAAAGTTCTTTTTGTGTTGGTAAGAGCATTTATCGCGGAAGACTACAGGTTATAAAACATTGTCCTGTGACGGACTAGAGCGAAGATACAGGAGGAAATGTTAAAAAAAAAAATTGGAAAATTATTCATCATTATAGGTTTCCGTTCCAAAAACCGTTCAAGATATCCTAAAAACATGTATGAAAGATTGATTTCTCTTTAAATGATCTAAAAAAAAATCCGCGATATCTATGTATTTAGATTAACTTGCAGGAACGACGGGGAGGGACGCAATCGACGTCGTGGGTAACAGTCTAAGTTTATAAAGATGAAGGGGTTTACAAAAAATAATTTGGATGCCCAAATTAACGGTTTTCGCAGACGAAGTCGCTGACACAGCTAGTTAATAATAAAGTCCAATAAATCAAATGTTACTTTAGCGTGTATGTGTGCTGTCGCGTAAACTACAGACATTGTTTTAGACCTTGCTTTTCAAGTTCCTTATAGGAGGTGCAGTGCTCAACCAAGTGCATAGAACGTCAAGTGCGAGTAGTACAGTAGGTTCGTACCATTAGCTGTACACAAAATTTGTAACATTACTTGCACTGCGACATAAGAAAAGTCTATCACAATGTTACTTGTCATTCCTTTCAAAAAATTTCTGCCATTGATTGGTAGGGTTTGGAGGTGGGTTTGGAGTGAACACTTCTTTAGTGGTGTTGTAAACTTTTTTATAATGCAAAAAACGCTACCGAAAATACTACTTCACTACTAAATATTTACTACAACTCCTGTGTGGCATGGTAGGCATCGGTGTACATTCTTACCTGACGGGAGTGGTGATGAAAGATCAAAGATGGTGATAAAAGACGTTTTTAACGAAAATGATAACAATTGAATTGAAAATAAAACCCCTAAAGCAACCGTTTTAATAGTTGTGTTGCGGTCTAGACAATTGAACAAAACACTGTAATTGAACGATTACAGTGAGAGCTGAATAAAACAGAAATTGCGTTTCCATTAAGTTTAAAACGATCGCGATAAATGTTGAATTTTTTATTTTTAAATGTGTCTTTATCCACTACTAAGTTATTTTAGGCATCAACATTTGTTTTTCTCTGTATATTTCCCTCTGTTTCTTCGTTCCTGATAGTCGCAGCACGATTATAGCCTATAGCCTTCCTCGATAGACGCTCTAGTTAACACAAAATATTTTTTTGAATTCGAGCCGGTGGTTCCTGAGATTAGCGAGTTCAAACAAACAAACTCTTCAGCTTTATATATTAGTATAGATTTAAAAGAGACGATCGCATCGGTTAAGAATTCCAAATTCAAATTTAAAAACTTTAAGAGTGAATTTCGAAAACGGAAAAATCATTGGTTTTTAAAAACACTCTTAATAGTTAAAAACGCTACATATTCATTATTACTTAGTTTTAATTAATTTTAACTACGACCCGACGTTCCGCTATTCCTTCGCGGTCGCGGCGCTGCGTACATAACTTCGGGGCTCATTTAAAACATATTAAACTGAAACTCACCGATATATGTCACGTTTCAAACTGTTTTTTCGTCTGCAATAGACACTTAAGAGCTATATTTTTCTTGTTCATATTTTTTATGTATATTTTCCTTAATCCCGTTTAATACGCTTTCCAGCTTTAGGTAGGGTGAAATCGTCTTAAGCGGGTTTTACCAACTTTGCCTTGTTACAGGCTTTTGAAGAACTCGAAGCTCTCCTGGCCAGGAACGGAATATGCATAGCTGTAAAGGAAAAGCTGGTGAAGGACTCTGGTGTGGCCGATGAGAGCTCCTATGATGATATTGTCCAGAAGCTGTTGACTAAGCCCAGGGCGAGAGGTAAGATTTCTAACTTACGTACGTTGTTTTAATGATGGAGGCGGACAGCCAAGCATGGGTTCATTTGATGGTAGGTGACCCCCCCCTCCACCCCAGCCCAGCCTATAAAATCTAAACAAGATGCGCTGTCGACCTATTTTGGCTTTGGATATTCGGAAATCTACAGACTGAAACCGAAACGGCTTTTTCATCTGTGGGTGGAAGTTTGTAACTTCGAAATTTCGATATTGTTACCACCCCCTTTAAAATACAGATTTCCAGACGAAGTCCAAAATAAAGGAGATTCAGGGGGGGGCGAGCGAGAAAAAAATTGTCTTTCGGGCTGTTCGGCCGATGTGACGAGAAGAGGTTCTCGCCTTTCCCATCACGAAAGGAATGTTTCACCCACTCTTTGTTTGTGGAATTGAAGAACCTCTTCTCGCTCACATCGGCCGAACAGCCAGAAATATAATAAATTTAGAAGTCCAAAATGTTTCAGAAAATTAAATTTAGAAAATCGAAAATAAATTTAAGAAATTTTCGACTCGGGCAGACCTTGAACCGGCAACGTCAGCGTAACGGCGGTTGCTCTACCAATTGACTCGAGCTCAATTACTTCCAAAATTTATTTTCAATTCTTAATTTTTAGGAAAAATTTCGGACCCAGTATAAAACACGCTGCGACCAATAATAGCGAAGAAATAGTGGAAAAAGTGGACAAAATTATTCATATAGTAGAGTGTCTGTTGCGTGCGTTGCGAGAACGGTTCAAGATACCTAAAAAATATGTATAAAAAATGATTCCTCTTTAAATGATGTGAAAAAATGTCTGGGACAGTATATGACTATCTTTTAATATTAACTTACCAGAAGGACGGACGGACGCGGACGATTTCATGGGTAACACTTGACAGCATTAGTTTATAAAATGAAGAGATGCCCTAAGTAACTATTCTACGCGGACAAAGCCGCGGGCACAGATAGTAGTTTTATACTCGCGCCGCCACTAAGAAATTTAAAGTTACGTTTCAGAATGTTTACATTTTTGGTACGACTTGTTATCTAATAAGGCACAGACTGTTAATCAGCGCTTAGCACGTCATGCTGAAAACTAGAGGCCGAAAAAGAATAAAAAAGGTATCGAATTAAATACGCTAGCGCCATCTGTTCCGTCGCTTAGTTGTAGTTAAAAACACGTCAACGCGTTGTTCACGTTAAAAATATTTATAGATGTACTTACTGTCTATAACCTATTTTTATTTAAATGAGACACTTTAACGGTTTAAAACGCGATATATCCTGTCTCCTGTCTCCCCGTGACCACGGCTGCTGCAAAGCATCCGAAACGTGGGGCGGAAGTTAAAAATCATTTTCAAATAAGTCTAACTAATATATCGCGTTTAAAACTCTTACTCTACTCTACTAGTCTCTTACTATCGTAAACTATAGTTAGTTAGTACAAAACCTGAATAATAAACCAATCCAATTACTAACTTAGTTTTGTTTGTTGTAAAAACGTAAGTAAATACCAGAAACAACATCGGTCTATAAAACTGAAATGGACTGTAAATAATAAAACCTTTTTAACCGACTAAATTATTTTTAACTGCAATCCGACGTTTTCGATTGATTTCTAAGAACGAAAATAACGAGATTTTGACAAAACAAACAGATTGGGCTTTGATATTAGGAATCGACCACCTTTAGTCCCTCCGTGACCACAGCAGTACTACAAAGCTGTCAAAACGTCGGGTTTGTTTGAAAATAAATTAATTTCCTAATTAACTTTTCGCGTTTGAACCCGTTAAAAGTGAAACACTTAATCATTTAAGTTAGTAATCATTTACTACTAGCGTATACATACAATAATTAGGTTATTCATATCATTGACTTCTGTCGTCTATATTAATACAGAGATTCAACTAAATGCATGTAAAACTTGTCCTAACTATAAATATATAACCAGGTAATACACCGAACAACTAGCGGCCTTTATAGACGTAATATATCTTAAGGTACCAAAGCCGGTTAGCATAAACCGTAAGACGGTTTCTTTTTTATACTTATAAGTATAATTATTGTAAAACAAAATTATAATGTTAAAGAAGTTAAATAAAATAAATAAATAAATCTATATCTATACTCATATTAAAGCTGAAGAGTTTGTTTTCTTGTTTGTACGCGCTTATTAGGATTTACTAGTTTGAATTTAATTATTTTTTTGTGTTTGTTGGATCTTTATAAAGTCTTTAAGCTAGAGGCCAACTAATAGTAGAAAAGAATCAAAGGGATATGAGGAAAAAAGAGGGAAAAGAGCTCCCATTGCGTGCGCTCCAAAAACGGTTCAAGAAACCAAACGATACGTAGCAAAAAAGTCTTTTAAACTACCTTAAAAGATGTCCGCGACAGTATATGTCTATCTTTATATTATAAAGAGTTTGTTTGTTGATAAATGATGTGATGACTGCGCCACGCGAACGAAGTCGCGGGAATAGCTGGTGTCGTATTTATAGTGAGGCCCTCAGTATTTTAGTGGAACAGCTGGCGTTTATGAGAGATTCGGACCTTTTCGGACGCATGTGTTTTAGTGAGTTTTACGAGAAAATATACAGGTTTCTGACGGGCTCTAATGTTAGCAAAGGTTTATAAACATCGGGCGTACGCTTCGATACTGACCGTATCCTACATGTTCCTAATCTATATTATCAAAGCTGAAGAGTTTGTTTGCATGTTTGATCGCGCTAATCTCAGGAACTACTTGGCTTAAACTGAATTTCTTTTGTTAGAGCATTTATCGAGGAAGGCTATATGTTATAAAACATCGCGCTGTGCCTAATACAAGCGAAGATACAGCGAGAAATGTGAATAAAAATTGGGAAAATTTATTTATCATTATGGGTTTCCGAGGCGTACGCTGCAAAAACGGTTCAAAACACCAACGAACTATTTATGAAATTGCTCTTCAAATGAAAAATGACGACGTATAAATTTTAAGTTAAGCAAAACCAGGAAGGGACACAACCGATGTCGTGGGTAATTAGAGTTTTTTTTTTTTGGGTGGAGTTTGTTAAACGAATTTGGATGCTCAAAATAACAATTCTCGCGGACGAAGTCGCTGACACAGCTAGTCAATTTATAATGTGGTCAACATTTAGTTAGACTTCATCTGGAAATCTGAATCTATACTTCTATATTAATATTATAAATACGAAAGTAACTCTGTCTGTCTGTCCGGCTATAACTCCGAAACTACTGGACTGATTTAAATGAAATTTTGTACAAATATTTTAGATCCTGAGAAATGACATAGGCTTTAACGCCAAATATGGGTTGGTAGGGATAAAAGTTAGTATGGAAATTCGTGGTTTTTAAAGCTAGAACAATGAAATTTTCTTCTCTGGCTTTTTGGGAATAGGTCTTTAGGAGTGGGAGTGGGAGTGGGGATGAGAGTAGAAGTGATGTGAGGTGAGAGTGTTGCGGCAAAGTAGCACTTATCATAGATTACTTGCCTTAAATGCGCCCTTACATAAATTATTACACAGCCTAAATATTCAAAAAATTCTATCCCAAGTCATTATTGGACGCGAACGAAGTTGCGGGCACAGCTAGTATTTTAATAAATCATTATTTGAAACATGTTTTTTTATTTTTTGGATCGCTTTTTTTTGAAGAAGACCTATTGCCGGATCAGTTAGTTAATAAAAAAAATATCAAATCCTTGTTTCTGACGCAAGCCTTTAGCTGGTAAAGGGCGGACCCAGTCAGCGTTCAAAACGATAATGATTAGTTATTGACAAGATTCAATTTGTGTAACCACGAGGCGAAAAATTGTCTCCGAACGCAGCTGGCAAACGGGTCCGTTGGAACGATTTATCGGGTTATCGGGTAAAGGGTTTTTGTGCAAATTCGGAAGGTCAATTGGGGACTTTTGCTGCCCTATGTGAGATAACGTCGACGGGCTCGTTGATCAAGGGTTAATAATCGACGGGTCGTGGCTTCGATCTCCATCGGGTTCAACATGTTTGTAATTGATTCATAATTTTTCTGAGACTTCTGTAAATCTGGATGTCATGCCGTCAAGTTAAAATGGCGTTTCAGTATCAGTCTGTGGATTAGAAAATAGGTCAACAGCGCAAACGTTATATGGCCGATGTATTTTACCTACCATCAGTTTGTCTGTCGTTCTCTATTATAAAAAAAATAGAAAGGATTTTATTTGGTTTTATGTTGTAATTGAACTAAAGCACGGTCTATATTCACGCGAGTACATATTGAATAAAACACTTTTAACGGTTTAAAAGGCGAACTATATTATATAGTAAATAATTACTTTTATTTACTTACTCAAAGTAAAGAACAGCTTCGCTATCGCCATTTGTTTCATTGTTTTTTAGTACTCCGAATAAATAAAACAAATTTAAGTGAAAAAACGCGAAATATATTAAATAACTTATTTACTTACTCAAATAAAAAAACTGCTAGTATCGTCATTCGTTTCATTGTTTTTTAGTTACTTCATACAAATAAAACAATTTTAACGGTTTAAAAGACGTAATGTATTAATTAACTTATTTACTTACTCAAACTAAAAAACTGCTACGCTAGCGCCATCTATTTCGTCGTTTTTTTTTAAATACTCCCATTTAATAAAACCACGTGTAATGGTTTAAAAGGCAAAATATATCAATTAACTTATTTACTAAAAGTAAAAAACTGCTACGCCAGCGCCATCTATATAAAGTACCTCAAAACGATGAGTTGCTCCGTATAATTAAACCCTTGTAACAGTTTAAAACGCGAATTATATTAGTTTACTTATTTTAACCTTTGCTCGACGTTTGGGATGCTTTGTAGCAGTTGTGGTCACGGGGTCACATCGTCGAAAGTGTTTCTTTTAAATATTTAGGTAAAATTTAACGTGAAAATTTTAGGAAAACCTCAAAATGGTCAATGAGAAATTCTAGACGACATTTTCTAAATGGAATTTATCAAAAATGTTTAGTTCCTGTGGTCTTATTTCGTTATAAATAAACTACGCTATCCTTGTGATTTTGTACAAGAGCAGTTATTTTAGAAACTGCCACAACATAAAACATGAGAAAATCGCATTACTTTAATTACAGAATATAAAAAAGTCGTGTCTGTATGTTCCTATACATATGGACATACAGACAGCCAAAAAAACTACGCAACTGATTCTGAAGTGATTTTAATAGATGGAATGATATAAGTGGAAAGTTTTCATGTATATAACATTTAATTAACACTTTAACGGTTTAATACGCGATATATTTTGGTTAAACTTACATCCCGATAGCTTGTCTTGTCTCTTCGTTATCACGGTTACGTCAAACCGTAGTTAAATTAATTATCAAATGACCTAAATATCTTACGTTCTCTTCTGCTTCTTCTTCTCTTTTATTTGTTAAGTTTTTTTCAGAATCAACAAACTGCTTAGTAATTTTTATTTATACTATATAACTGTGTATAACTCCAACTTGACTTGCCTTTGCAAGGTAAACAAACTTAAAACTTACAACTTGTTGTTAGATTATATTGAACCACAATAAAATATTCACTACTAACGACCCGAGATTTTGGTCAATATAAAACGGAAAATGTACATCATTAAATAAGAATTAAGAATAAATACTGTCTGTAATTACGCGAGTAGTACACATTTAAATAAAACACTTTAACGGTTCAAAACGCGATAGATATTAGTTAAACTCATTACAAAGCATCCGAAACGTCGGGCAGTATTTAAATATATATCAAAATAAGTTTAACATATATCGCGTTTTAAACCGTTAAAGTGTTTCATTTAAATTTAGTCCTTAATTAAATGAAACCCGAGGTACCTTTGAGTTTAAAATTACAGCTGTGTAATGACGAATTATTTTACCACACGTCAAATAAGGTTTATTAAATTTGAAGCGAACAAATTTATATCATTCTATGCCAATTCAATAACATCGTGGGATTTAAACAAACACTGAAAACAGCATGATTAAGTTAAAAATAAACAAATCCTTTGAAAATGTTTGATTTGAGTTTGATAAAACAAAGGCCCGTGTTAACATCAGCTAAGAAAATAAAGTTGTATAACCACGCTTATGTAGGGTTCCGAACAACTAAGTGACTGTAGATACATACATTACAATAACATAAAACAAAAATTCACTAAAAACCTTTTTTTGAAAATTGAAAGCGTTTTAATAAAACATTTTAAACGGTTTAAAACACGAATTGTGTTAAACTTACTTTAAATTTAAATTGCATAGTTTCACATGACCATAGCTGCCCTAATTTATACGAACCTCATTAAAATAAATTAAAAATAACAAAATTGCCTTTAAAACCGTTGAAATTGTTTTGCTTTTTTATTCTCCGCTATCATAAAAAAATATATAAAGATATAGATTTGGTTTTTTCTGTGTGTGTTTGTACTCGTAGAATAAATACACATTGAATTAAATACGTTTAACGGTTTAAAAGGCGAAATATATTAATTTATTTATTTATATTATTTAATTTATTTATTTACTCAAAGTAAAAAAAGTGCTACGCTAACGCCACCTGTTTCATTGTTTTTGAGTATGTATGTTATATTAGTGTGTATTTATATGGATTTCATATAAATACAACACTTTTAACGGTTTAAAACGCAAAATATTTTAATAAACATACTTACCTACACAAGGTAAACAACAGCTACACTAGCGCCATCTAGACGGAATAACTGAAAAACGATGAGTTACTTCGTAAAATTAAAACCCTTGTAATAGTTTAAAACGCGAAGTTTATTAGTTAACTTATTTTAGCTTCGGCTCAAGATTTCGAGTGCTTTGTAGCAGTTGCGGTCAGAGGGGAACATCGTCAATGCGTAATGTTTAGGTTTTTTTGTAGCTAATTTTTTTTTTAATTTTGTACACAGGGTTCAATAAAATACTTAAACCTATACTTATAGTAAAGCTGAAGAGTTTGTTTGTTTAAATGTGCTAACCTCGGAAACTGCTGGCCTGAATTGGAATACTATTTTGTATTGGATAAAGCATTCATTGAGGAAGGCTTTAAATTATTGTAAAAACGTTATATCTACTGGAGCAGATAATCTGTGGAAAATATAAAAAAAAAACTGGAAAAAACCCGGGTTTTCTAAACCACGGTTCACGAGACCAAAAAATAATATTTTTTTAAAAGATCTAAGAAATCTTTTAAGATTCGCAAGAGAACCGTTTATATATTACGTAAATCTTTGTTAGTTTATCAAGATAAGGACCTCCTCTGTAGCCAAATGTTTGACCAACTACCTAGCATTGTGTTAAGCGCAAGAGGTCCTAACTTCGAGTCTCGGGGTAACAATAAACCGTTTCGGTCGGGCCGAGTACAGAAGTCTGATCAACTACTTGCCTGTAAATAAAAACAGATCACTTAATTAAAACACTTTAACAGTTTAGAACGTTATAATTTTTTTGTAATCTTGTTTGAAAATTATTTTTTACTATGGCCCGCACTCCCAGTGACCACCGCTGCTGCAAAGCATCCGAAACGTCGGGCCTTATTTAAAAATTATTTTGAAACAAGTTTAACTTTAATTGATCGCGTTTTAAACCGTTAAAGTGTTTTATTGAAACGTGTACTTCGCGTAAAGTATAGAAAACCTAAAATTAGTTAAACGGTCACAGAAACGTGTTCGCCCCATGCCCCACGAGGAAAAACAGTTTGCACTTTTTTTTATCAACAGAAATAATCTTGCAAATAACAGACCTTCTGATAAGACGGAATAGCTTGGGGCGAAGCTAATACCAATTGTAACCTCCATCTTTCATATCCTTTCACATTCTAGGACCAATTTCTCATCCTTAACAGCTTCCCAAGTACTCACATATCACACAAGAACCAGTCTCGCGTAATAACGATATATAAACCGGAGGGGTAATCCTACTATTATAAACGTGAAAGTTTGTATGTGTGGATGGATGTTTGTTACTCTTTCACGCAAAAACTACTGAATGGATTTTAATTAAACTTTCCAATAATATAGCTTATGCATCAGAATAACACATAGGCTACAATTTATAAAGATATTGTGGGAGCTGTTCAAAATATGTCATTAAGTGTCAAGTAACTAGCTAAAAAAGCTACCTCTCTGCGAGCTATTCTGGCGTGCGCTGCCATAAACGTTAGTTACACATAATTATGTAATGTATGTTACGATAGACATCGTTTAGTTTAAATGCGCGATACTACGTAATCCTAATCCTAATCCTGCGTAGACGAAGTCGGGGGCCCCAGCTAGTACAATATAAATTGAACCACTTTTAACGTCGAAATGTATATCTATTTTTTCAAATAAACGAAAAAAAAAAATTTTTTTTTTTTTTTTTTTAAAAAATTAAAATTTTTTTTTTTTTAAAAATAAAAAAAAAAAAAAAAAAAATTTTTTTTTTTTTTTTAATTTTTTTTAAAAAAAATTTTTTTTTTTTTAACCCCCCCCCTTTTTTTTTGGGGGGAAAAATTTTTAAAAAAAAAAAAAAAAAAAAAAATTTTTTTTTTTTTAAAAAAAAAACACAGGGGGGGTCCGCCTTTTCCTCCGGGAAAAATTTTTTTTTTGGGCATACAAAATTTTATCAACTGTGACTTTTGTGGGACGCTTATAGATGCCCCCCACCACCAGGAGAAGATAGGGTTTTACGCTGTAGTTAACCGTTCCCCCTTTTTCTACCATTACAGGAGCCATTATATTTGGTTCAGACCATAAGAAGTAGCTGGTGTGATGCGTCGCGGTGGAACGAGCAAACGCGACTCGTTCGTTCAGCTGGGTCGGGTGCTGATGCCTGTGTAGGAGCGCGAGGACCCTGGTCTCTAAAGGCAACGAAAGGGCAGTGGAAACATAAGGCACCATCAGATCGTCCAGCCCCAAGCGAACGGACGTTATGTATTTTGGGTTTCATAAATGTTCTACCGGTAATTTTTCAATTCGAACCTTCTGGGGGTCAAACAAACAAACTCTTCAGCTTTCATTAGTATAGATTAATATTTCATTTTTGGATTAAGATCCCTTAAGGAGAAAAGGTTATTGGTATTCTTTTTCATTAAGGACCATATATTTGTTAAATATGGTTATGAGGGGGGGGGGGGGGGGGCCCCGGTCCCCGGGGGGAAACGAAAGGGCGGGGGAAGGCCCCCCCGGCGTCCAGCCCCAAGCGAAAGACGGCAGGGGTTTCAAGGAGTACTTTTTGGGGTTGAACATGAAGAACAATCGACGGAATCCCTGGTTTGTTGGTGAGGTTTTTATACTTGAATATATTGATTTATGAAAATTAATTTAATATAAAACTATTTAAACGGTTTAAAACACGATTTTAACTTATGTTTCGGAACTTTTGATGCAGACGTGGTCACGGGATATTGATAAAAATGAGTTAATCACGATTTAAACCGTTTTTTGTTCTTATTTCAATGTATGGTAGACACATAAACTAAAGACTTTTTACTACAAACATTAGTTAAAGCCTGTATTTTACGAAAACAGTACATATTTAAATAAATCACTTTTTAAGGGTTTAGAACGCAAAATATGTTAAATAATCGATAATTACCATTTATTTTTAATGCGACACGATATTTTGGATACTTTGTAGTATCGTGACTATGGCAACCGTAATATATTACGCGTTTTAAACTGTTAAACGTGTTTCATTTTAATACAGACAATTTTATGAAAACAAATAGTATAATTTTACAAATCCATTTTGTTTTTCTGAAAGAGTTTATATTTCATGTTTAACGGCTTAGAACGCGAAATATATGATTAGCTAAGGTTTCGGACGCTTTACAGCAGCAAGGTGTTTTTGTTAACATGTATTCCGCGTTTCAAACCGTTAATTTTTGTTTTATATTTTTTAGAATTCTGGGAGCACCACTTCCAATGCCGATACCCAGGGTCCCCCCGGACCCCATACAACGGCCACTACAAAAGAAGATGTTCAGGTCTTGAACGGTTGACTGTGAACAATACTGAATTTGAACGACAGCTCCAATTTGTCAGTGATGCTGTGATGGCTTTCGCTTATGCTATTAGGTAAGCTTTAGTCTAAAATAAGACTGACCGGTCCCCTGGTCTAATGGTAGCAATGGGTCGTGGGTACGATCCCCACCAGGTCATGTTTTAAGGAGGCTAGAGCAGGTCGAATACCCCAGCCTACAGCATCTAAAATGCGCTTCATCCTCCTTTAATTGGAATCCACAGACTCAACCGATCTTCGAATCCGGATGGAATGGGTTGTAGAAATATTGATATTTCGTCTTGTCATAAACCATCGACAGATGAAAAAGCCGTGAAGTTTCATCGCGTTCCGGTTACAGCCTGTGGAATTCCGAAGCGAAAATAAGTCGACAGGGCACCTGTTTAGATGTCCTATGGCTAGGTATAATAAACGTATTTTTTTGTATCTATATCTATACTAATATATAAAGCTGAAGAGTTTGTTTGTTTGTTTGAACGTGCTAATCCCAGGAACTGCGGGTTCCAATTGAAAAAATATTTTTTGTATTGGTTAGAGCATTTATCGAGCTGTACAATATTGCCCGTGATTAATACAAGCAAAGATAGAGTAGGAAATGTGTGAAAAATTTGAAAAAATATTCATCATTATGGGTTACCGAGGCGTACGCTGCAAAAACGGTTTAAAACAACATGATTCCTCTGTAAATGGTCTAAAATAAAGACAAAGAGGTTCCCAAAAACGAATTTGAATGCAATCGATCGATATTAATCAAGTAATTGATCAGACATTTTTATTATAGTATCCTTTGTTTCCTCGGGATTCGAACCCAGGACCTGTCGCACTTAACGCAATCCTAGGCAACACGTTTAACCATTTAGCTACAGAGGCGGATGATAGAACAGACATTTTAATTAATATAAGTTAACGTAACTTAAAGTCGTTATGTACTTTTCGCTGTTAAGCTTTTAGTAAATCTGAAGCTGCATAAGCCGCTTATCTCCCAAAAATGTTGCTTGTATTAAAATTTTGTCATTTAAATTTGAAATACCCCAGCCATATAAACTTCACAGCTTTTTCATCTGTGGACGGCGGTTCGCGACCCGGACGGTATTTTGACATCACCAAAGTGTGCAGAAAAATAAATAACTACATATAAAAAAAACATAGTAGTGATTTATTTAAAAAGCCTACTTATATTTTAGAACACTTTTAACGGTTAAAAACGCGGACGAGGTACATTAGTTCAATTATTTTAACTACGACCATGCTATATGCTACAAAGCTAAGTAGAATTTCGTGTTTTGAACCGTTTTATTTAAGACTAGCTGTGGCAGCGACTTCGTCCGCGTTTTTTTTCTCTAACACAAAAATAATTTTCAATTCCAACTACTGGTTGGTTCCTGAGATAAACGCGTTCAAACAAATAAAAAAACTCTTCAACTATATATTATAAGTATCGTAACTGTAACATCATAACTCTTTGATAAAAGCATAATGTCATTTAAATTTGTTAGATCATAAAAAAAATTACAAGTTTTCGCGTTTCAAGAGCGTCGGCAATAATAAATAAATTGGGGACAAGAATCCCATTTTTCCTCAAAGAGAAAGTAATTGGGACCGCATCAGGCTATCGGAGTCATAAATTGGCCAGTTTTGTTATTTAAATCGAGGCCCGACGGTTCGTATGCGTGATTTAACTTCGAAAGAGAAATCAACTAGAACTCGTTAATTCAACGAGAGAAATATCTTTCACTTCGATTCCTGCCTAATTTTTTAGGACGGGCTCATTGACTTGCTGGTAAATGAAATACGCCAGCCATATTAGCAAGATGCACTGTCGCCCTTTTTTGGTTATTGATATTAGAAAACGCACAGACTCAAACCGAAACGCGATTAAAATCCACGGCTCTTTCATCGTTCGTGACCCGGATGAAATTTCGTTATTTGTAGCGTCACCGAAGTCCAACAGTGTTTCCGAAAAATTATACGTTAACTAGCTGTGAACACGATTTCGTCCGCGTTTCGCTAAGAACCACCTCAGCTTAATTTAACTTATTAAGCTAGATAATAATAATAATAAGACAAAGAAAAAACTTTTTTTTGTACATATTTTTTGGGTACCGTGAACCGTTTTTGCAGCGTACGCATCGGAAACCACAGGGATGAATATTTTCCCCCGTTTTTTTCCACTTTTCACCCTTATATTGTATAGCGCGATATTGTAACTTTCCACAATCAATACTCTAACCAACACAAAAATATTTTTTCAATTCTCACCAGTAGTTCCTGAGATTAGCGCGTTCAAACAAACAAACTTTTTTAGCTCCATAATACTGGTAAAAAAAAGCGCGTTGGATCCACGAGCGGTTGATTTTTTTTTAAATATACAAGCACTTGACAGAACTTGTAATACTCCAGCCATATAACATTCAGGCAAAATGCGCGGTCTACCTATATTGGCTTTGGATATTTTTAGCGATACATCGGTATCATTAGACCAAATTCGGTATAATATATTTCACATTAGTAAAGTAATCTGGTTTTGCCCTGTTTCCCTTTTTTTGCGCCCTTGTTCATCACTAAGTAAAATCAATACTGGGCGACAAGTGTGACTAAAGGTCGACCTTGTCACGTCGCTGTCACGCGTTACGACACGCTGTCACGCGTTGTCACGCTATCGACTGCAACCATTAAAGACTAAGTAGAAATGCATGTTCCTATTTTTTCATAATAACAAGCCTGCTGCTCACTTGATGGTAGATGAAATACCGCAGCTTTATAACATCTAAACAAGATGCGTGGTCGGCCTATTCTAGTTGTGGATTTTGATATTTTTTTGTCTGCAATTACTTAAATACTGCGTATGTATTACGGGAGTAGACATTCAAATAAAAACTCTTTAACAGCAGCCGTCACGGGGAGACCCGTTTTACTAATATATCGCGTTTTAAACCGTTAAAGTGTTTTATTTAAATGCGTTCGACTCGCTTAAATTACAGACAGTATTTAAAACAATCTAATTAATGAAAAAAACACGATATGTATTGTGGGACACAGAAATATGTTCGCCCCATGCACTAGGGACAACGAGATTGTCGTGTGACCCGATATATCAACTGTCGGATTTCCGGATACAAATGTAATTTGTGCCTACGTCGTCTTAACGAGTTCGGAGAGTACGGAGAAACATATTAAAGTATAAATCGTACTTTTGAAGTTGACAAAAGTGAATTCCCAATTTTCCCTATGTGGGGCATGGGGCTCTCACATTAAATATTGTTTATAACATATTTACTCGTAAAGTGGATGTAATTACACCAATTTCAATATAGTAATGTATCTCATTACTTACTTGTGCGATAATGTAATGTAAAAGGCACGTGTTCTTTTTCTTAGCAAAGAGGTTTTATGTCAAGAAAGTTGTCAATATTTTATGAATAAAATTAACTTTGGGAAATAAAATACAACAAATAAACATTTAATTCTTTAATCTAATTAATTTTGACAATAAATTACAACCAAATACTGTACAAAAATATTAATTTACTTTATTAGTAATACTGGCTGTTTTTGTACCTTTGCCTAAAAAAAAAAGTTGATGCGCGCGCATCGCTTATTTGTGGACAAGATAAAAATAATTCCGCGCGCTTTTTCTTTTCGCTGTATTGTTTTTTAATTGAAAATGTCGTCATGTCCTCGTAAATATGCTACAAAACGTCGTATGACATACGTGCGCTTTGAATATTACAGCCTCTGCTTTCTTATAGTAATATCGCCTCGGCTGTAATTTTCAACTCACCGCACTTATATCATAATGTACTATTACGGTATCAATGCATTACAATATGAAAAATTTCCCAGTTTTGGAACTTACAACCTAAACTAATTTCGTCGAGTACAATAACATACTAGCTGTGACAGCGACTTCGTCCGCGTAGAATAGTAACTTTGGGCCTCCAAATTTGTTTTTGCCAACCTCCATTTCATCTTTATAAGTTTGAACTATTACCCACGATGTCAAACGCGTCCCGTCGGTCTTGCAAGTTGATCTTTTAATTTAATTAAGTAAAAGATAAATATAATATAGTGTTGCGGACTTGTTTTGGATGATTTAAAATGGAATCATTCTTTCATATATATATATATGAAGATACCCAATATATATATATATATATATATATATATATATATATATATATATATATATATATATTTTGGGTATCTTAAATCGATTTCGCAGGTGAATAATTTTCACATTTTCCGCTCATTCTTCGCTGGTATTACTCACAGCACAATTATTTATAGCCTATTACCGTTAAAACCGTTAAAAGTGATTTTTTTTATCAATTTCAATTGAAAAATCTCCCTGTGACCACAGCTGCTGCAAAACATCCGAAACGTCGGGCCGTAGTTGAAATTATTCTCAAATAAGTTTAATTAATATATATCGCGTTTTAAACCGTTAAAGTGTTTTATTTAAATAAATTATTAGCAAAATTAAATGGCTTAGAATATATTTACAAATGTCTGTATTCTTATCTATACTAATATATAGAGCTGAAGAGTTTGTTTGTTTGTTTGAACGCGCTAATCTCTGGAACTACTGGTTCGAATTGAAAAGCATCACGCTCTGACGAATAGGTGCAAAGACACAGTGGTCAATGTGGAAGAGGTGAGGCTAATTATTCATCATTTGCAAAAAAATATGTATGAACGAATGATTCCTTTTTAACTGATCTAAATAAATGTCCGCGACACTATCGGCCTTATTACAAAAAAATACTCAAACCAGGGTTAAACCAGAACTGCCAAATGAATCTAAGTAGTACCATATTTAGTCCAGTACAAATGATAGACTTCGTTTTGTAATAAGAACTTCAAATAGACCAGTGTTTAAACCAGGTTACTAGATCGTCCTGGTCTTGTAATAATAGTGTATATGTCTATCTTTAAAGATTAACTTGCAAGAAAGACAGGTCGCGAAATGGTTAGTAAAGCATAGTTTAAATATGTGGAGTAGTTTGTAAAAACAAATTTTGACGCTCAAAACGCTGACATAGGGGTTGTCCATTAATCAC